GAATTGGAGGACATTTCATGTCCCCCATATAAAAAATCTAATAATCCATGCCCAAAATGCTAAAACATGCACTTGTTGTGTTAAACATACTTGTCTTGAGACAAAATGTAGAAAAAGTTGTAGAAAAAGTGGTTTCAAAATATTATTTAAATTATCAAATAGCTCTCGAACATCCCCTTAAATGGCATTTTTCTCTTGTCCCCGCTTCTTGGTGACCAACTTGCATGTCAAATATAACATTTAAAATAGGGATTTTATTTACTTTTTTTGGTATTATTCTATTGATATATGTCTCTTGTAATGGTAAAATCAATTTGTTAAATCATAAACATATTTTAAATAACAGTAATTTTGCACAGTAGGTGTGTCCCTCAACATGAGTTCAACCCTGTTACCCAAACCTTTTTAGATTGGCAGAGGAAGTGAAAAAACTGTAAGTCAGATGACACAGTGGAAAGGACATCAGCAAGCCATGTGCTAGTGCCATGGGTAGACCACAACTAAGTCCTCTCTTTTATTTTTCATATTTTTACAATCTTTTCAGTCTTAAAAGAGTGTGGCACTCTAACCCACTCAACCCTGTTACTCATATTATCAGAATAAAGCATATTAATTTCAAAGTTATCTTTCTTGCATTAGATATCCAAGTTTGTCCTTGCCTTGAAAGTAGCATTACATGCTACATCTAGCAATAATTCCTGAGGTTAAAACTCAAATTAGCATTGATTTTCAACCCTGTTACTTTCAACCCTGTTACTATAATTAGAGTAATTCTTCATTGGAAAATATACATTTGATGCCTAGCTGGGCAAATCACTTTTTTTGATGGTTTATTATCTGTTTTTACTAAATACATTAAAAAAATTATAAAATAAAAGGTTCATTTTTCAAAAATGTTGGTGTCTAAATTGTCCTCCAATTCTGGAATGACCCATATACATTCATTTTTGAATGTTTGAACAGATAGATATTCCTTAAACTTTCTAGAAGATTCTAGTAAGTTTAAGGAATATAGAAAGTTTGAGGAATATCTATCTGTTCAAACATTCAAAAATGTCCTCTTAAGAACGTTTTTTAACCATTGTATTTGTTCAACCTAGTAGGCTACTTTCGATATCTGAACCTTAACCCAATACAATGTGGAAGTAAAACCAATGTTTACACACAAAGAGAGGCTTTTAGTAAGCATTATCTTCAACTTTTTACGCGTTTTACTAAGCTTATTATAGGCTACTACCAAAATAAATGTCATAGCGTAGAGAAATATTTTCGGACTTTTTCGCTGATATTTCTTGAAACCTTTTGCCCAAGAGGACTGTTGCTTCTCAATAACAATCAGAATATCTTTAATGACTCACAAGCATTTGATATTTCAAGTTAACTTACAGTATTATGATCGATGTGTTTTGGTTTCGTGACCAAACAGCCTCTGTCGTTTTCTCCTGAAATCCAATGTTGTTTTGCCTTAGAAGCTTTTACTTTCAGTTCAAATTCAAGATAACGTAGTGGCTGCAATACCACCAGCAGGTGTCAGTGTTGTACTATTTTTGGTGTAGTTGCAGTTATTAGGCCTTAACGATTGCACCGTATTTTTCATGTGAAGTATAAACCAGTTGAAACTAAACAGAAGATATGACAATACAGGAATTAAAAATGTATAACATGGCCGAATTATTTAGGTGTTTTCATTCTAGCTCTTAATATCTTATTGTAACAGCAACTATTATTTTCACAAAAGATACTAAATATACCGTTTTTATTTCATTTCATTTCATTTCAAACCTTTATTTAGACAGATAGGTCCCTTGAGATCATGGATCTCTTTTACAAGGGAGACCTGCATCAATTTAGTTCCACATGAAACATAAAAACAACATAAAAACAAACAATAGAGGACATCATATTTACATATTCACCAACACTTACAAACACCCATAGTGTCAGAAAGCATCTCGTGCAGACGTGCCTTAAAAACATTCAGAGAAATATAATTGCTCAATAATTTAATTTATAACTGGCTTTACATCATATCTGTTCATTGTGTCAGCTTCTGAAATACTAGAACACTTGACTGCCTCAGGTCAGGAATAAATCATTAATTTGAGTAAGCTACATTCATATTACACTGACACACAAACATCACTGTGACTGTCATTAAACAAAACAGTGTGGTGTGTGTGTTTGTGTGGTGTGTCTGCGAGGGGGTGTAAACTGTATCTGTGGGAGTGATGATTCTTCACCCATCTGTAATGTAAAGTTGACTGGATCATCTGTATCTGCACCGTCAGGACGGGCTGACATTTCCTCCTCAGGCTTCACTTACCTCTGACAAATGAGCAGGGCTGCTGATGGAGTGGTCAGGGCAAACTATGGCCTTTATTCAGTGATCAAGAAAACCAGCAATGTTGAGAAAAAGACATTCAGCTTTTTCCGACATAGGCCTACTGTATGATTGCCTTTAATGATTTCCATAACACTTACATCATTATGTTCTTTCATATGAGACTCATGTTGAACACTTTTGCTAACCAAGCTTTTTTATATACCAATGCCAGTAAACGTGAAAAAGGCTACTATCATTGTTCTCTTAACAGTTAATAGTTGGCTAATTTTAAATGGGTCATGTGTCTTTTCATATGTGATCTGTATAAGAAGGCGTTAACATAAATTGTTTCACATTGTCACATCAGTCTAAAAATGAATGCCACCCTCCCCTGTAATAACCTTAAACAAGACATGTGTTCAGTAAATTGAACTCAGGTTAAGCTGATTTAAGGCACCAGCATCCCTGATGAAAAAAACAAGCGGCAGCAACAAGCCGCACACTCAGCAGAGGTGATTATAACATTTAATCACTGAGACCTATCGCCGAGTGTTGCAAGGCTTCTCGCCGCAAGGTTTGATTTACCCGCCCTCTTCCTGAGGAAAATCTCATTCACTAGACGGATTGCTGAGCGGGCCTCTCCGACCGGCCCCTATAAATCATTCTTTAATCAGAGGCCTCTTAGATTGGGCGCAGACACCCGCGGGAGCACCACTGTGACACCTCAACTCCTCCCTGTGCGTCTCTGCAGTCCGGGGAGTTTTTATCCTCTTCTGTTTCTTCCTCGAGGTTGTCTGCATTTGTATCAGTCATGAGGAAAGTAAGAGGGATGACCCGCCCTGCCCTCTGCGCCCAAACACTTCCTGTTTAGAAGAGATTGATGCTACAGTACACCAGGAAGTTGTTTTTTAGGCTGCAAGAGAATGTAAGCTATGGGTCACAGCTAACCGGGTAAAGCAGAAAACAAAGTGGGAGCAACGGAGGGTTAATGGGAGCCCAGTAGCTCATTTTTGCCCCGGGGTCCCACAAAGTGGTTATCCGGCCATGCTGAGGATTAAAAAATGGAGACCACTGAGAAATTCCTCTCAATTATGTTGCCAATAGTTCCTTCATGAATGATGGCTGACATCTCTGAGTGTTTTTATCTTGTTATCTGCAAACAAGACGGACAACTAAATAAATTACATAACCGGACAGATGGGTGCTGGATCACAGGAAGTTAATCTATTTCGGGGTCTCTGACACTTGTATTGTTGTTGCTTGTTATTGTCACCAGTAGATTTTTCTGAAAAAGTACTTAGTACTGTAAAGCCGGTAAGAAATAGAATTCAAATTCAAACTCAAATATAAATGTACTAGTCTAAAGGTATATAATAGGGCCAAAAACAGACCCAAAAAAGTATAATACTGTAGAAAAAAATAGAGCCTGTTTATGCTCCACATTAGGGCTGCAGCTAACACGTATTTTCTTATTGATTTTTTTTATTATTATTGTAATGATGAATTTGGTTGGGATGATAAAAGTGAGAAAATAGTGAAACATGTCTTGGTTTGTCTAACTTCCAAATGTGTTGAAAACCAAGATATACAGTTTACCATTATCACAACTACAGCAGTTTTTGAGAAGAAGGAACCATTCAATTATTGGTTATCAAAATAGTTACATATTCTTGTGACTTAACTCATTGATTAATTTACTAATCGTTTCAGCTTTACCAAGAACCGATCACTCAACTTTAGCTGAAAGGTTGTTCAATGTCGACGCTCCACTGAGGTTTAAGATTTATTATTTGAACCAGCAGTTGAGAAACCAATTTCAACACAAGATCCATTGGTGTAGCTTTTCTGGAGCTTTTGATCATATGTCATGATCTTCATCAACAGATGGAGTTCGCCCAGCTGTCAAGGAATTATAAATTACGTTCAAAATGTTATTTAAGAAAAATGGTCGGAGCACTTTTTGGACAAATTGTAAGAACAGAAGAAAACTGATTTAAGTTAAACTCAACTGACAGCTATAGTTGATACGTTAACACTGGAAGTGTGTACAAAAACCATGAAATCAAACAACATTTGTATTATCCCATATCAAGTATCATATTACAGTAGTATTTCAATATCCAGAAATGTTACCCAGGTCACATACACTGAAAAAGATTAGACTCAGCTGGATGACCCAGCTTCCCGTGGATGGATAGCTGCAGGTTAGGACCATGGAAATATCAAAGTGTGAATGTGTATGGAGTTTCATCTGGAATTTTTGATTGCTTATGTGCTTTTGGTGTAAAAGTGTTAAAACCACATTTAGATTAAATATCACAAATGTATCATACTCATAAATGTTGCTTCATCCTTGTCAACTACATCAGCCTCATTTGAACTATTCAAATCATACTGAATCTCACCTTGCCTGAAAAAAAACACTAACATATGGGGGGTGCAAATAAACTCATCTCCAATGTGTGCAATGCAGCAGCTATATCATATATCTGTGCCATAAAAAGGAACTTGAAGATGAGAAGTGAGTAAAGTCAGCTGAAAGAGAGAGATGATCTTTTTTTTCAAAATGCAAATATGCTGTGACGTCACCGTGTTGAAATATTTTTCTGTCGCTCAGCCGGTTTGGAGCTGTCAGAGAGCGCGCACTCCCACTGCTTCTCACTCGTGCGTGGTGACCATGGAGACGTCCCGGAGTTTTTTAGGAGAATGTCATTTCCAAACTCAGTGTGCAGCGAAGGATGCTTTTTCAATTAACGCACTGAGGAGATTGGACACAGATGGATTGTGTTAATACGCTCCGCGATGAACTAATGGGAGTGTTGACTACCAACTGAGAAGACGCAGAAGTTGTCTTAATTCTCTGCTTTGGAGACAGTTCGGACACTTAAGCGACTAAAACAATCAGAAAGGACGGAACGCAGAAATCAATTAGAAAACCATGCACTGTTCATATCCATGGAGAGATGGCATGCGTGCTCCTCTTCAGTCGACTTCATCCCTTCTCACACCGGCTCACAAGAACATCCATTTGCTTATTATCGCTTATTCTCTCTTATCTGTGCTACTGTGCACTGTTCCCTGCCGATACCATCATGCACAAGTCAGGTGATCCGACACCCAGCTGTCAGCGCGTCCTGGCCGATGGAGCCAAAAGGCGCATTCAAAAAACACCTTCATGCGTTTTGCCTTTGGATGCGAGACCGATCAACGTCGAGATTTCTCGGCTGAAATCCGACCAAAGACCTCCGTCAATTCTCCACATCGACACCCCCAGTCCTCCCATGGGTAACTTAAAGTTTGGGAATAAAAAGTTACCAAACGCTATTATTGTTGGTGTGAAAAAGGGAGGCACCAGAGCTGTCCTGGAGTTCATAAGGATTCATCCAGACGTACGAGCAGCTGGCACCGAGACACACTTCTTCGACCGGAACTATGACAGAGGTCTGGAGTGGTACAGGTAAGAGCATGACCCACCTGCACAGGTAGCGTATAGCTACATATGTATCTGTAAAATAATCTTCTAAGGGATAACCTGAAAATGGCACCACTTTAACTGTGTGAGCCAAGAAATCAAATATGGGATCAATTGCAAAACCTAAAACCAAATTACACCATTCACTGTTTTGCAGTCTGTAAGAGGTGTGAAAAAATGATCAGCTTCAATTTGACTTTTAATTTAGCTGGTGCCTTGAAAGACTCATGGGAACGTCTGGACATTTAGTGCTGATGGTCAGCTGTCTGTATCTCAAAAGTAATGTATCTGCTCATGCCTGGCCTCCATAGCTTAACTGAGTAAATACATCAAATAATGTCAAATGAGGATGATGATAAAAATGATGAAGATATTTCATAAATACAGGAGTCTTGTATCATTTTACATTTCAATGTGAAGTGACTTTAGATGGGAGTTAAGCCATAGTATGTATTTTTCCTACTTAATTATTTTAGAGGATGTTTCCTGATAAAATACTTCAAATAATTAAAAAGAATAGCCAAATCTGACATAAATGATCTGCCAGTTATTGTTGTGCAAGTGCCTCTGAAAATTATGTCCAAATTAAGTCAGCTGCTTTCTGTTAAAATCTGCCATTTCCTTTCTCTCTTCCCTTGGTGTTGTGAGGTGGCCAAACATGCTTTATGTGTTTTCTGCAGTCTCTCGACTCATTTTGTCTCTTGTTGCAGGAAAGGTTATGAGCTCTGTTTACTTGTTTGGATTTATCTTATAGCAATTTATCAGATTTCTCCCAACAACAAAAAAAGTCAGAGATCTTGAGGCAAACAGTGTAAACTGCGACATGCAGCCTTCTGTTGCTGGCAGGCCCCTGAGCTGAGCTATTGTCTTGTTTGTTTGTATGTAGCAATTAAACTAATCTCAATGAATATAAAATGAAAGGATTTGTTTTCTAAAATGCTACATGAAGCATTGATAACCATCTGCAACTAATTACGAGAGTTTCTATATAATGTATACGGTATCCCATACATGAAACATCTGCATCGTTATTTGAACTCCTAATTACAGATGTATCCAGAAATGATTTAGTCATGAAATATCATGCATACACACTGACAACAAATCATGCACAAACACACTCATGTTAATGATCAGCTGTCATGCAGCCTGCAGGAGGGATGTGTTTCAGCAGTTTTATAAAAAAATTATGAAATGAAATGACCTCCGCTAATTGGCATTCGTCAGTGTGGTGAGAGGCTGAAGACCTTTTTATCTCAGATATGTGTCTCGGAGTCGTAAACCCTTCGCCTATTACAACACTTCGATTGTCAGCTGTCAAAGCTGGTGAGAAAAAGGTCAACGCACTGACTTTGAGTATTGATTTCAAAACAAACAGAAGCTTCTCAAGAAACTCTGATATAACACTCACCAATAAAGGCCATACTGTTGATATAGAAATGTAAAGGTATGCAATACTGACACAAGTTAAAGCAGCTATTAAGTTATTTTAGTGGTGATTTTGGGTACAACATCTGCACCCTTTTTAGTCTGTGCCCTATGGTCTCTGGTGTTCATTTTCCAGCTATACTACAGTATCATCTGGCTGGTGTACTTACCAAATCTCCATCAAGAGACCCTGGTATGCTTTTTGGGGTTTCCCTTTCCTCTGGTGTGTTATATAGGTTTCTGTGCATGTAAATGGTCTGCAAAGGCTAAAATCCCAAAGTTCCCACTAGGGTTAGGGTTAGATAGATGGCTAGATGGAGTTTCTCTTCCAAACACTTGCCTGAAAGGCCTCCATTGTAGTCCTTTGTTTACTTCAGTAACATAGTGACATCACTATGTTAACACTCACGCTTCTATTAGCTAGCGCTCCAACTCATTGGACGTGATAGGCTAATGGGCGGGACATCTCTAAGAGGTTGACCAATCACAACAGAGCCGGCCAAACCCAGTGGGCCATCCCTTGGCCCAATATTTTGACCGACGGCACTATATCCCTATGGGAGAAGTGGACGGCCGGGAACTAGAAAGCTTCCCAATCAGAGCAGACTGGGCTCTGGTTTCAGACAGAGGGTGAAAAGAGGTGCTGCAGCACAGGCAGTATGAGAACAATAAAGACCTAATTGAACATTAAAGCATGTAAACATGTCACAGTAGAGGCACAGAATACAAATATGAACCTGAGAATGAGAATAATAGAATGAGCTTTAATGCCACTTTGTGTAGGGATGTAACATTTCTGAAATGGGTCCAATTTGAGACCCTTGAAAATCGTAATGAAGATTTGTAACCCCTTTTCCAATGGTATGTAGACCAATGATAAACCAGTTAAATTAAGGAATACCCTTTTCCTGAAGCTCTATAGGCTCCATTTTAACTCTGTCCTTGATCTTTGATGGTTTCCGATCAAACTTCAAACTCTTACTCTGTGAAGGCTTACCTGTTTAATTCATCACTTTCAAAGACGACAATGGCCTAGTTTAGAGACCCAGAAGTAACCTAACAGAGTCACTGTGCTATATGTGTTCTGTTTGCATTCACTGATTTATTACTCTTGAACGTGGCCGCGCTGATGAGCAGGAGAGCTGTCTGCAAGACAATTCTCCTGTGACAACAGACTACCAGGACTTTGTCTCCTATTATAATTTGCATCAAGAAACTAGGTTCATGGCCAAGCTCGAGCTTCTCAGCTCTCGATTTCATGCCATGCATCTCACTTGTTTAATCCTGCCCTAAATAATAGAACAAATGCACACTTTTCCTTCAAACTGAGTGAATGCAAGGACGTCCTGTCCTCTGTGTCTGAATCTGTTAGCCTTTGTAGGAGTGTGAGCATTTTAAAACAGCAAGAAAATGTCAGCAAAATACACTTAATGTGAATGTAAATAAGAAACCTTTCTCTTTCAGGAATGTTTACTTTGTGTTTTCATCTTTCATTCAGAGGGTTAATGCCAAGGACTCTTGAAAGCCAAATCACAATGGAGAAGACACCGAGCTACTTTGTGACAAAGGAGACGCCGCACCGGATCTCCGCCATGTCCCGGGACACCAAGCTCATCGTGGTGGTGCGGGACCCCGTCACCCGTGCAATATCAGACTACACTCAGACCTTGACCAAATCTCCCGACCTGCCGAGCTTCCAGGACCTGGCCTTCAGGAACCAGAGCCTGGGCATTGTGGACACGTCGTGGAACGCCATTCGCATCGGCCTGTACGCTCTGCACCTCGAAAACTGGCTCCGCTACTTCCCTCTGGCTCAGATCCACTTTGTGAGTGGGGAGCGTCTTATCACAGACCCTGCAGGGGAGTTGGCACGAGTGCAAGACTTCCTTGGGTTAAAGCGCATTGTCACAGACAAACACTTCTACTTCAACCGCACCAAGGGCTTCCCCTGCCTGAAGAAGCCGGAGAGCAGCGGCTCGCCTCGCTGCCTGGGCAAGTCCAAGGGCAGGACTCATGTGCAGATAGACAGAGATGCTATTGAGCAGCTGCGGGACTTCTATAGACCTTACAACATTAAGTTTTATGAAATGGTGGGTCATGACTTCAAGTGGGAGTAGAGGTTGGAGTGATATTTTTAAATGGAAGGAGAAAGATTTATGTATTTCACAAATTCAAAAATAGGATGCCTGCATTGATATTACATGGCTAAGGCGGATAGAGAAATATCAGCACTCTCCTGAAATGTTAAGAGTGAAACTGAAAAGCAGTACTATTTTTTGAAGTGAGACGTAATAAATATAGGAATATCTACGACGACATTGCTTTTGCACTTGTAATGATCAGTTACCAGCCAGCGCCAACATCCTGTTTGTTGCCAAATATAGCCCTCATTTCAGCTTCAGGATCACACCATTTATTTTCCTGCATTATTGCTGACTAGATCCCCCATTTGCTGACTGGTTTATAAAAAAAGGACATTCCAGGGAATGGGATTAGTTCTTCTTAAAACCTGCTTCACTAATCAAGGCAGGGCTTGAAAGCAAGACCTTGGAAAATGTCAGCAAAGTCCTCAGGGGGAGGAGAAATAAGCTGCAGCACTGTGGTGGTAAATCTGAAATGTAAAGCCATAACGCAAGTGGGAGTCATCTAATATCACTTACTGTTGGTCTCATCAGTTTCTATACAGAGGGGAAGGGTTTCTGTCTCCTTATTTCCAGCATGAATCCTGTAAGTTAGTACATGCAGCGCTTCACTTTGTTCTCTGTGCTTTATTTGCCAAATCCATGTTTATATTTTTGTTACCAAAGTATTTAATCACATGCCTTAGCCACAATGCTTGTCCATGAACTTAATTAAAAGAAACAGAAGCACAAATATATTTTTGGACATTTATTTCTGTCTCCTCTGAACCATGTATCTTAATGTTGTTCAATGCCTGAGTGCAAAGCTAAGAAAAACTTCTGATTCTGTGCAGTACCTTCCTGTTCTTGTTAGTGAAATGTGTGCTTTTGAACAGATAACACCACTTACATCCTTCCCCCATGGTGGGACTGAAAACATACTTCTGTAAGGTTTTGTTGTGAGCTTCAGTCGTGGTATGCGGACGAGTGGGCGTTGGTGTAAGGAATTTAAATCCCTTTTCAGAGACAAAGCAGGGTACACCTAGCTGTGGCAGGTTATCAAATGCATTCTGGGACTGCATATCACATGATTGCGCTTGAAATGTTGGGTTTGGCTGCACGGTATGAATACTAAAGCCTGAGTTGAAGCCTGACTCTGAAACAATATTAAAACAAAGAGGAAATTACCTTATGAAACATAAACTGGGTTCAAAGAGATTATCTTATTATCATCAGTCACTCAATTTCCACATCACACATGATGATGTTACAGGTAAAGCTTTTGATCACACTTTAAATGTATACTTGAAACTAAATGGAAATTATTGAGTTTACAAGGTATCAATACCTATATTTAAGTAGGGAAACCATGGGGAATAGGTGTGCTCAAAGAGAAATGAGAAATAATTGACACTATTTATGTCTTTATTCATTTATTTAGTGAGTACGGGAATGTGACAAGGCTTGAGAAAGGACTATTTATAGATAGATTATATATATATTTTTTAAACTAGCAATCTGAAAACGTGTTTCTCAAATATGGATTATTTATGTCAGTATGATCTTGGAATAAGGATAAGATACACGGGGTACAGTGTTACCGTCAGTAATAATATTGTGGCAAACTCTTCATAAATACATTTGATTTACCTGAATAAGGAATATGACTCGAGGTACAAGGGAAACCATGGGGAATAGGTGTGCTCAAAGAGAAATGAGAAATAAGTGACACTGAGTGACACTATTTATTTGAAATAAGTGACACTATTTTATTCATTTATTTAGTGAGTACGGGAATGTGACAAGGCATGAGAAAGGACTATTTATAGATAGATTATATATATATTCTTTAAACTAGCAATAGGAAAAACGGGTTTCTCAAATATGGATTATTTATGTCAGTATGATCTTGGAATAATGATAAGATACACGGGGTACAGTGTTACCGTCAGTAATAATATTGTGGCAAACTCTTCATAAATACGTGTGATATGTGAATGTGATGTACCTGAATAAGGAATATGACTCGAGGTTATGGGCAAATATTGTTTGGCAAGGCATTGAGAAATTGGTATGTAAAATAAAAGTATTTTTGCAATAATAGGCTGTAAATTAAAAAGAAGACTTTAAGTGTAAGGTTAGTTAGAGGCTGTCTACTTCTTCCCTTGTATACATCAGTAGTATTTCACAGGAACCCTGTTAGAGCTATGCAATGATTATTAAATCAACATCCTAAAATGTAGATCCACAAGCAAACACATCGACAGTGCATATAGACTTGTGAGGATTCACTGAGGTACAGAATACAGAGCAGCAGAGACTTACTCAGCATGTTAATGTGTATCTCAAGTATTAGATGTTAGAACATTGATCTACGAGTTTCCTTAACTAATAAGATTCATTAATAATGATTTGGCTCTCCGTGAAATGTAGAACATGTTGGTCCTCGCTGTTATCTTCCTACCTCAGAAGTCTAGTACTTTTCATCTGTTTGAATACTTCTTTTTCATCTGAAGCCTTACTGAAATTTGCATGTAACAGAGTGTGCTTTGAAGATTTCTCTGTGTTTGACATAGAAATACTGAAAGTGGAGCCGGGGAGGCTTAAAACCTGCTTTTGTTTTTACTCTGCTATATTTTCAAACTCTCTGTCTCCTTCCTCATTCTTTGCATCTACTGCAAATGCTCACATTGTTAAGAGAAGAATCCCAAAAGGCGCTCCGCTCAGTGACGCCCTCACAGCACAGACGTCTGCTTTCTCTCTCTCCCCGTCCCAACATTCATTAAACTCACAGGACCTTCAGGCTGGGGCGTGCAGTCAGTACAGCTGCACCACCTCTGATGCCCTGCTTGTCATCATCATGCCGGCCAGCAGCTCATTTCTGGGGTTTTTTTAGAGCCAGCGCAGGTGAGCGTCTATCCAGTCGTCACCGAGAGCTGCATCTCTCTCTCGATGGTACACATGGGTCCTCATTAGGCCTGAGGGCTGGCGAGGAGCAATCCCGGAGAACAAGCAGCAGCCAGACTCTGATTAGATTCTGCTAGTGAACGGCTCTCCAGAGATTGTGCAGGTCAAAACTCTCTTTTTTTCTCTCCTCGCACACATACACAAACACTCAGCTTTCTTTTCAGATATGAATTCCCTCAGGAAGCAGCCCATGCAAATCATCAAATCCCTTGCATTTCCGAGCACCATGACTTGACCTATTTGCACTGCTAATGAGGTGCTTGTTAAGCTTAATGAGTATTTGTTAAAGCTGATGTGTGAATATCGTGTTGATTATGAAACATTATGACTACATCTCCCTATTAATTTTGAATGTGTTGAATGTTTGGATTATTTCCTATACAGTACAATTCACATGATGTGATCCCTGTGGAGCAGCCTGGTCATTATTTAATGCTGAAAAGACTTGAAGGAGCTGAATGGATCAATATTATGGTGAACTGTTCATAAGCGCTAGTTTTTGCTGAGACTAATAATAAGCCTTCAAGGACAGGAGCAGACACATATTGTTATTTTTTTATCTTGCAGAGTCCTTAGATAGTTTTAGAAACAGGCTTAGAGCTCACCTGATAATGATTTCTGAACATTGTGATCTGATATTGATTAATACTTGAAGCAGCAATATTTTTTTTTAAATGTAGGGGTGAGGGTGAAAATCTAAATAGATAAGTTCAACTTTTCTTTGAAACACCAAGAAATAAGTTAAATCCAGCACGTGGGTTGGAGAGAAACTTTAAATGTTTAAATGTCACGCTGATGTACATCACATAATGTAATTCACCCACAGGCTCCCTGTTGGTTAATGTAGCTCCAAACATCCACTCTTTTGGATTTTGAATGAGCCTAGAAGTGAGATAGAAGCTGCAGCATTGGATTATATCAAAAATGAATCTGTCCTTGAAATGTCAGTAATGCAGTAAATTTTACATGTGATTTTTAACAATAACAAGTTTTAATGCATGCCAACAGGGAAGTGCATTTTACAAGCATACTCTATTTTAGACGCACCAAATTAAAATAGTTCGCTTTCCTTGTCCTTTTGCCTGGGAATTTCATGAGATAGAATTAGGTTTCCTGGTATCCGAGGGAGACAGCAGCTGACACTGCAGGCACAGATTCAGCAGTGCATCTCGTTCAGTCCTAATGCTTCAGAATAGTTTAACTTCTGCAGCCGACAGGATGTCCCAGTGGTCGAAATCACCAGTGGTTTAGGAACCAAATTAAAACCAAGTGCTGACAACTGTGGCACAGTCTCAAGAACGTAATGATACATGTTCTACAACTATTTCCAGACCTGTGTAGAATCCGTGGTCTGTGGGGATGACACTTGGAGGAAAAGGAAGTGGAGAAGAAACTAAAGTTTTAAAAGTCACTTATATGCAAAATCTACTTTTTCATGTATTTTATACATAAGTGTCTCCTCTCTGTGGAGATTCAGAAAGTTTCAGGAAAAAATATTCTCTCCCCCATGTCCTGATCCATTTATATTAAAATCCCCTAAAAAAGAAGATGATCAGATTTTGGCCACTTTGTGATGTTACAATGTACACCGTACTTCCGGTATCCGCCATTTTACGCGAGGTGCAAGCAGGCCAAGGGTTTAGCCGTACACCGTCTAGGTGTTGCTAAGCTTCCTGTACTGAATATCATAGTCTATTGCCTTAATCAATATCTAGTCAACTCTAAAATACCACATATATGCAATGGCATGATAATATTATTGTGACAAGTGGGGTATTCACCTGGTGTTTCCAGAAATTAGACGTAGATGCAGCCAAAATCGACGCAGTCTGTAAGGGCAATCCGACAACCCACACAGCTCTAGTTTACGCTAGTAACGACCTAGAGCACACCCCTCAAGTCCAGAGATGTAATCCGAAGACATGCAGCGATTTCTTCGGTCGTTCAATTCAATTCAATTCAAAACCTTTATTTATACAGATAAAATCCATTGAGATCATAGACCTCTTTTACAATGGTGACCTGCTTCAATTAGTTCCAAACATTAATACAAACATGACAGAAAACAAAGGACATTATATGATACTACAGTTTGTATACTAGTAGCATTTACAGACACCAATATTTTCTGATTGTATAGCGTCTATCCTAGCTTTAAAAACATGAAATGGAATCAAACTGCTTAGCTTCCATTCCTTTTGTAGACTGTTCCATGCTAGCGGCGCTGCGCATCTAAAAGCTGTATTTCCTAATACAGTCCTAGCAGTTGGCACATGTAATACAACCACAGCTTTAGATCTCAGGCAGTAGCCATTTACAATACGCTGTGAGATCAGGGACAGATGTAAGACGGAAGTTTCCCTAACATTGCTTTATAAATAAAAAGATACCAGTGATTTAGCCGCCGTACAGTAAGTGAAAGCAACCCTGCCCTTGTATACAGGGTACAATGATGAGTCAAAGTCTTACAGTCTGTCACAAACCTTAGTGCACTATGATAGGCGGCATCTATCTTGGTGAGGTAATTGGCCGGCGCATTCATATAAAATAGATCACCATAGTCCAGCACAGGTAAAAAGGTCACAGTGACTAGCCTTTTCCTGGCCTCAAGAGAGAAACAGGACTTGTTTCTATAAAAAAAACCTAGCCTAACCCTCAGTTTTTTAAGCAGGTTATTTACATGCAGTTTAAAAGAAAGACAGTCATCAAGCCAGATACCAAGGTATTTGTAAGAGGTTACCACTTCAAGTTTTTTTCCTTGCATGGTTACAATATCTAAAACAGGCTCTGGTGACTTTTTAGCTTTTGAAAAGAGCATTAACTTGGTTTTATCCACATTTAAAAGAAGCTTAAGCGCTGAGAGCTGAGTCTGAACAGTGTTAAAAACAGTCTGTAATTTAACAACAGCCTCCTTAACTGAGGTACCTGCACAATACATCACAGTATCATCCGCATAAAAATGTAAGGTAGCTTCCTCCACATTATCACCCAAGCTATTAATATAAATGGAGAATAAAAGTGGACCTAGAACAGAACCCTGAGGTACACCATTAGAAATGCTCAACCACTCAGAAGTGAGCCCATCAAAGTGTACACATTGGGACCTTTCAGAGAGGTAGTTCACAAACCACCCCACTGCAAGGCTGGACAAGCCAATGCTGAGTAGCCTCTGTTTTAAAATGCGATGATCAACGGTGTCAAACGCTTTAGAGAGATCAATAAACAGAGCTGCACAACTCTGCTTATTATCTAAAAAACTAGTGATGTCATTTACAACTTTCATTGTGGCAGTGATGGTGCTATGTTTTTTCCTGAAGCCCGACTGATGTTTCGACAGGATATCATTTATACATAAAAAGTCCTTTACTTGCTCACTCACTAGTCGTTCAAGCACTTTAGCCAGAACTGACAATTTCGAGATTGGCCTATAGTTATTTAAAATAGTTGCCTCCCCTCCTTTCAGTAAAGGCAAGACATAAGCAGACTTCCATACTTTAGGAATTGTATTTGTGCTAAGGGAGAGGTTAAAAAGAGAAGTAAGCGTTAATTCAGAAAAAAAACCTAGTGCGCTCTGCCTTGCTACGTTAGCTAGCTGTTTATATTTGCACTTCCAGGATATTTGCACCTCCATGAAAATGGCGTATTTATATATATATGGCGCGTGTTGCATTGTGGGTAGCTCGTGACGTCACTGTGTGTGAAAGAATAAGTGTCAGTACGATGTTATTTTGTATTTGCGTGCATTTCCTGTTCGGAAAGTGGCGCTGCGGCTGTACTGATAGGCTGTGAATAAACAACTTGTGTTTTACTTTTAGGCTGTCTGAAGGTATGGACAGCTATCAAAGCTACTATACATCACATTAAGAACAATGTACAAATGAATATCGGACACAAATATATAATTTAAATGATTTATTCAAGTTAATATTTTGAACAGGCATCCACACAGTCACCTACTTTGTAATGTTCGATACCTCCCTGTAAGCGTCACGATATCCACCTCTAACCCGCAACCTCACATACGAGTACTGAATGTGCATCAAA